TTCTCTTTTGTTGCCTCTGACCCCCCTCCACCCTGATACCCCCAAGTGAAAGAACTGGCCTGAAAGGATAAGAATGTAGAGAATAAAAAGAGCAACCGCTGTCACATCAGAAGAAAAATATTTTCTTCACATTAATGTTGAAAGAAAGAAGAATTCATTTTCTTTTTGATCTTTACAAAATTTCACCATTCTGATTGTGAAACACGGTAGTGGCTTTGGGTGCACTGACTGTAGTTTTCTGGCTGATCACTGATTTTTAAAAAGCCTGAGCGGATCCCAGTTTCAAAATGAAGGAAATTGGTTTTGATTTATTGGAGCACCCCTAATAGAGGTAGGATCAGGGAGGAGAGAGGAGTTCTTTTTTTAAACAGGAACAAAAAATTGGGAGATTTTATATGTTTTTTGATGAGAAGATAATTGAAGAAAACTTGAGGTTTGTTCACTATCCAGCTTGACAATAATCCTAAACACACAGCCAGAGCTATCATGCTTTAAAAATACAATTCACTTATAGAGCCGCAACAAAAAAATTTCTAAGCATGTACATAAAACGTTATTCTATCAAAACTAAACAAGAACTTCTTTCTACTCTCTTTAGGAACCTTTAGGATTTCAGATAATCCCTGAGGATATTTACATTAACCAGTTACATTAATCAATTACTAACTTTGGAGATCTTCTAAATTAAGTCCAACAATAATAATACCAAAGATGTAGTAAATTACGTATTATTGTGGTTTAAAATTAGATAATTTACGATATCTGAAGTGCTTTTAACATTTATATAGAACAAAGGACTGAAGAAGGGTTCCTAATATTCAAATTTTCTGAATCTAAGATTAAAAAAAAAAAAAAGGTCTGATTTGGAGAAGCGCTGGTGACACATCTACATACTTCTTTGTCTGACCGCGCTTGAATATCACACGGAACTTAAGAGACCTGAAAAGTAATTTCCTCTCTGAATCATCCCCATTTTTCTCCCAGCGCGAGCTCGAGCGCGCGCGCGAGGCGAGGCGGTGCGGCTTTTAACCTAGCACAGCAGTCTTCAGTGACATCCAAGTCGGGCTTTAGGGTTTTTTCTTTTCCTTTTATTCCTGTCTTCAAACTGTCAGCTACTTGTTGCCATGGCAGCGTTATGTCAGCGGAGTCGCTCGGTGTGTGCGGATGTTTCGACGCGCGCGCGTGTATATGTGTGTGTGTGTGAGGTGATGCTAACAGATAAAGCTGTAGGGGTGAGATGTGGCTATTGACCGCTGACACCCTCCTGACATTTCCCCCCTCACGCGCCGCAGCACGTGCGCGCGGTTCGCGTGTTTATTTTACGCTGAGCACAAGTGGAGACGGACACGTGGAAGTCTTATATTGCAGCTGGAATTCTGGACGGCTTTGTTCCCTAACAGAAAACCTGAATAAATATTGCGAGAAATGCGAGGTTAGGCACAGAAAAGGTTGAGGTTGTTGCTTTTATTGTAAGCAGTGCTTAATTTGAGCCTGTCCAGAAAAGAGGAGGGTGACAGAGATGTTAGCTCAGCTGCTTTATGGGCTGATGTTCCCACTCTACATTTGTGCTCTTTCTCTTTATTTTCAACATACTGACAGCTATTAGGAGCCAGAGGAGCCAGCGTTCTGCAGCTGGAGCTGAAGTAGACTGAAGGATTGCATCAAGTCTGCTTTATCTGTCAAACTGTTGTATTTGGACATTTCTGTGCCAAATCTGATTTAGTTTGGATTTTTGTTCCTAAAATATATTTTCATAAGGACCTAATAGGGTTGCATGTGCTGATGCTTTCATGTGAAGACAATATTGTCTGCTGATCTTATGCAAAAGTTTAATAATAAACCACTGTCCTCTTTTGCTCTGCTGTGAGAGAGGTTTGACTGACATGTCTACACATTCACAGTTAACAATAGTTACCAAACTGTTGTCAACTCAAAGATTTTCTTTCTACATTTAGCAACATTACAGACAAAAAAAACTTGGTATCGGCCAAAATCAGAACCAGCAAGTCTGGCTTTTTAAGGACCGGCAATTATCCAGAGAACTGCAGTCGTTGCACCTGTAGAACCTAAATTTGAATGATTTCCCCCTCAATGATGCAACAAAAGCAACTTAGTTACATGGGCATCATTCTGAAATGCAGTTACATATGTAAAATGTTTTTGGCTATGTGATTTCTAGATCTACATCAAATACAACTACCTAGAAAAGCTGCAGTGCAGCCAAGATGAAGCTTGTTTTGCCCATGTCTCTACCGTCCACACAAACATCCACGTCCAGGAATGTAAAGCCTGTGACAGCTGAACCATCTGCTCTGACCTCATTATGCCCATTGTCTTTACTGTACACTGTAGCACAGTACACAACACAAACATAGGCTTCATGAATTACAGGGATTTAGCTGTGTAATTGTATAATTCTGCCATGTCAGTTCTTACAATAGGTTTGTGATCAGGATGTTTTCTGGTGATGAGGAAGAGAGGAGGAGTCTTCCCATTAAACACGCATCTTCATAATCAGTCTTTTGAAAAAAATACATATGACTTCACCTATAATTTAGTATTTTTGACATATTTGGACATATGGATATAAGTTTTGCCAATATTGACTAAGTCATCAGGCGCACATGCCTGTTTCATCTTTGCTCATCATTTAGAAGGAGGTTTCCATCGTTTAGAGCTTTGACGTTTAATTTGTTGCTCTTAACTGTTGAAGTGAATGTGAACATCATGGTGAGATCTGCCTGTTGCCTTCAGAGAGAAGATTGTAGGAGGTTAGGATTCTGTTACATTCAGGAGAATGTTTCCACCACCAGTTGGGGTTAAACCCACACATCTAACGCCGCGTCATACTAGAGTGACGACGAATGTGATGCGCTAGTACGTCTTGTGAGTCAAGCAATGATGTTATTCTGTCCCCAAATCAATGGACTGTGTTGTGTAGCAGTAGCTCCACCCTAACCGTACCGTACCATTGTCCTATAGACCTACAATTGAAGGGGGACCAGGAATGGTGTCATACAAGCTGGTTGTATTGGTCGCTTGTACAATGGACCAGACTGAACCTTTAGTAGAACTGGATCTGAAGACAAATACCCAAAACGTACCAGTAAATTCAACAAAGGACTGTCTGAGAGTCGATACACGGTAAAGGCCTAGTCAATGCCCATATCCTGATCTCACTGAGGTGCTGTGAGCTGAACTGAGACATGCCTTAACGTATATACCTCAAACATCTCAAAGAAGTGTCAATCCTACAAACACGAATGTGTAGACATAATAAACGAAACCATATGCATCCAGCAGACAGCTGTGATCATGCATGCGACTGAATGCAGGTGCAGATCAGGCGCGCTATCATGAATAAATTCACACAATTGCTGTCTGGAATTTCAGCCAAGAGCCTACAATATTGACATGTGCTCATATTTTATTTACAAGTTGCTGTTTTTTTTTTTTTTGTTGCATTTCACATAAGGTTCATTTTTAATGAAGCTTTAACATATGAAGAAGCACACTGGCTTTGTCTTTCATGTTACGGCCCTCTGACTGAATGTTGTGCTGCTGCTGGTTTGGCTTTGAGTTTTGTTTGTCTCCGTGTTTTCGTGTGTTCATCCTCTCTTACATAATTCATGTGAAAAGCATCCTCATAAAACAAAAAACACACACACACACACACACACACCGCATCAGTGACTTCCAGCACAATCCATGCTGCACCGTCTTGAAAAAATAAAACGAAGACAAACATGAGAAGATTATTCAGCCAAAAGCTCATTTAGTCATAAACAAAAAACAAAAAAGATGTTCAGAGAATATCCCCCCTACCACTTCACTGAGCGGCTCATCAGCCTTGGATTCTTTTCTCTACAACTTTGCTGTGAGCATAGCTGGTGCATGTGAGTGGGCACATACTCAAACTACTAAAAGACATTCTTTTCTAATTCAAGCAATGTAAAGCATTAGGCATGTTTACTACTTTACTTTGTACTTTTTAGTGTTATACATTATCATATAATCACAATGAAAACTCTTAGAACAGATCCTTGTGTTATTTTTGGTTAGCCATGTTTTTCACCCTGGATGCCGTTTTTTCCCACTATCTTTCCATGTTGAGCTTTTTTTTTTGTCATCTAACGGATGAAAAGTCAGTGCTTTCTTGGAGTAATTTTAGGGTGGACACTAAAAAAATTCCCCACTTTTCCATGTCTTCATCTGTGGATAATGATTCCCACTGTGATTCTCTGGAATCCCAAAGTCTCTGTTCCTAAATGGTTTTGTAGTCACTCCGTATTGAGCTGTGGCTGCACTAAATATATCTTAAAAGGACTAGTGTTGGGTACTTTTCAGTGATGTTGTAGTTGTTATGTTGTTAGTCGGGTTTCTTTCTCTCAGACTTTTAGGGTATTAACTTGTATTATCTCTGTGCTTCTTTCTTTCCTCTTTTCTCCTTTCCCTATTAAATCTTTCTCACAGCTTTCTATCTTTCTTTTCCGTATCTGTGTCCATTATATTTGAAATACACAAAAAGAAATTCAGAATATATTTTTTATATGTATAGAAGCCTTAATGCTTCACTTGTGAAAGTAAATTTCAGGAATTGTTGGCACTCAGACAACAATTCTGACCACCACACTGCCAGATAAACAAAAAAAAAAAGTAAACATAAAAAAACCAATTACACAGCAAAAAGAAATGGCTTTGTAACCCTTTTCAGACTGGTTGATATTAATTTTCCTTAGATCAGGTCATGATGTGTTATTAGACTACTTGAGGCTTAAGGATGCCATCACCTTAATCTTTAGCTCAGATTCTGGCAGGGACACACTCCAGTATCATAATACAATTTCTTGTCAAAGAAAGCATGTTGATAAAATGAAAAAGATTACTTTAAACCTAAAATATACTGGAGGTATGAATAATTTTGAACTCAACTGTGAGTGGACTTCCACTACTTTTTTTTTTTTTAGCAGTACTTACTAAGCTGGTTTTCATACTTACAGGTAGCCTGAACCAGCAGAACTGGGGGAAGAGTTACCCGTCCTGTAATGGCGCCCGGCAGTCTCCTGTGGACATCGATGAGATGTTTACCCAGGTCCGGATGCAGTTCCAGAACCTGCAGCTAGAGGGCTGGCAAATTCCCACATCAGAGTCCACCACCATCCAAAACAATGGGAAGACTGGTATGTTTAAAACCGCCTTCTTTCATAAGTATAAAACCCCAAAAAGAAAGATTTTTTTAAGCAAATCCTCAAATTTGAGTATCCTAGTAAAGCCAGTGTCTCTACAACTTCATTTTTCTCCTGTATAAGCACCGTACTTAAAGCTGCAGTGTGTAACTTTAATAAAAAATAGTTTTTTCAAAATTTATTGAAATTATTTCTGTGTCGTGGTGGTATGATACGAGACATAATCTGTGAACTAACTACAAATAAACCAATCAGAGCTAGAAGGAGGGTCTTAGTGCTGCCAATCATCTCCTCTCCACGCTGCAGCTAGGAGATCTTGTTACGAATGCTAAGGCTATTTATCATAGCCACCAATTATGTAGAATTAATAGTTTTCCTGTAGATTTAAATTGTCACGAAAGGGCAGGGCCTCCCATGGCTGCAGCCTCAGGCACCTATCTACCCATGTCTTATGTTTTAAGTTCTTTTGGACTTGCTGTACTGAAATGACAATTTCCCTCCTGGGGGGAATGATGAAGGTATTCTATTCTATTCTGCTCTCTGCCTTTATCACATTTAGTAGCGAATACATGAGGTTGATTGACAGCGCTAAGCCCCTCCTCCTTGCTGTGATTGGTCGTTTTTGGTTGGGAGCGGTGCATTTCTTCAGATGGCAATAATAGCTCTGCAAGAAGGAGGTCAATCTTTTCACAGATTATCTATCTTATACTGTCACAACATAGTGACAGTTTTAACAAATATGTCAAAAACAAATTTTTTAATAAAAATTACATACTGCAGCTTTAACACCATGGAAACATGTGGGAATATTTTTGATATAATGATTGCGTAAAGCGAGACTTGGTAATCCTGAGCTGTGGAAGGATTAAGTTTTTATATGCCCCCTCAAAAAAAAAAAAAAAAACGATCCACAGCTCCAAGATTAATGACACAGTGAGCTGTTGGGAAAGAAACAAGAAGCGAAAGAGACTATGTAATTGCAAGAAGAGCAATGAGAGAGACGGCACCGACTGAGGGATCATGTAATGAAAAGAGAAAAGATCAGTGCTGAGAGGCAGCGATGAAGAGAGGAGTCGCTAGAAAAGAGCAGGACGGAGGGAGGGAGCATGGACGATGTGAAGAGACGTGAAGTGATGTCTGAAGTGATAAACAGATGAAAGCTGTCTGAACTACTCTATCCTCTCCATCTGTACAATACTGCCTGAGCTGCAAGCCGTGTTGTGCCTCTGTGTGTCCATTGAATGTTAGTGGTATGAAAGTGAAAATGGCAGAAATCTCACACAGCTTGTATGATAAACTAGTCATAATTCTATACCCATATAAATCAAAGTGTTTATAAAACTTTAGGATAGCCTTCATAAAAGCAAAGTAGGTTTTAGAATCTTAATATTTGACTTGAGGGAGCAGTTTTAGACTCAGCTGGTGTGTAACTGTAAAAAGATTTGCTTTTGCAATACTGACTCAGCCTATAAACTGCTGTTACACTGCTTCATATCTTGGTATACATGATGGTGTATTGAAAGGCAAGTTTTATGAAGGGGATTATGGTGAATGAGTCTTTTCATTTTGATGCTTCCTGAATAGTCCTCAACCAACTTATCTGGTAAAATAAACTGTGAAAAATATATAAAAATGTCCTTGCAGCTATTCTAATGTGTCCTTTGGGATCCCGGTTTGAATTTCAGTGTTGCATTCAGGAATGGCTATGTTACTTTTGCAATGCTGTCAAAGACTCATCGTCTGAAAATGAAACTTCAAATTTAAAATAATTCAAATTAATCAGAAAGTACACACCTTCAGTTTCAAGCATTCTGCATACCGACATGAGTAAATCTTCATCAGTCAAAACAACATGACATTAAGTACTGTTATCAAATGGCTGTTGCTTAAATATCTGAGAGGTTGTGTAGAAGTGACGCATGTGTTGCATGAATGGCATATGCAAAATTAGGAGCTCATGCAACATTTTTTTTTTTGCGTGTTTCAATTAGTTTCATAAGGATTTCTTAACATCTGAGAGCTTTTAATGAGAGAAGCTTGTGAGAACTACTTGCTATTAGCTTAGTTCATCGATTTATTCATATCGTCATGGGCATGCTAACCTATAACAATTGCTTCGGTGGGAAAAGATCTTCTCCCAGCAAATAGTCCCAGAGTGACATATTTAATGCTGCTTCAACACCATGAGTGCAGTCGGCTGCATGAACAATACACATAAAGGCAACTTCTCTCCACTCTGACTCCCAGATATAGCTCCCAGAGCTAAATATCTCTCATGAGAGACACACAAAGACTACATTTTATATAACGGCTCTGTCGGGGTGTTACTGGAATAAAAATCTGTCAGGATGCACGGCACGTTGGTTAAGCATCACTGAGCGTTTAAAAGTTTCAGCACAAGTGAACTTCTAGTGATGTGAAAAATCTACACACCAGCTCAACTGCTCACAGAGTTAAGGTCATTTCTGGTGCATTTCAGAATCTGCAGCGGTCTTTATTTAGACTTCAGGGTGTACCTGTGTATGAGAAGGTACCTTGGGAATCTCAAGGTGTTTTCACACTTGGTAATCCAGTAGACTCGGTTTTATTGGGGTTTTCTGGTTTGTTTCATGAACCAGTAAAGAGCCAAAGTAAATTTATTTTCATTAAGATGGAGTTTTGTTCTGCTTAAACATTTGTTTTTATGAACATTTTAGTGGTCATCAACCTGGAAGGGGACTTCTTTGTAAGTGGAGGAGGGCTGAGTTCCAGGTTTCGCGTATCCAGACTCAGCTTCCATTGGGGGCGCTGTAATACGACGTCAGATGGGTCTGAACACAGCCTGAACGGGATGAAATACCCTCTGGAGGTAAGTGTCAGCAGTACGCCACACATTTTCTTCTCCAACTCAAACCCAAAGATAACGTTGACTCTGACTGTGTCGCAGATGCAGATTTACTGTTACAATCCCAACGAATTTCAAAGTTTAGACGACGCGATGGAGAACGGAGGACGGGTGGCCGCCTTGGCCGTTCTCTTTGAGGTGAGGCGACCTCACCGTGGAACCACCCGTTTCTGTACCTCCCCTCAAACAAAGCAACAATACAATCGTTCTTTCATTTCCAGGTGAGCCTGGAGGACAATGGCAACTTCAGTCCTATAGTGGAAGCAGTCAGTGGTGTGAGCAGATATGGTAGGTCACTACATGAAAGTCTGAGCTTGTTACAAAAGATGAAGATGGCAAATATTTTACAATAAAACACATAAAGCTTACAGCTTTATCTTGGGTCTACTTCCTCTTAATCTTAATAATTGCAGCTTTAGAGCTCTGGATACCATCAGTTTTCTCCAGGTTTATTTGCCCTTTTACTCAAACAGCACAGAGTAACATAAGGCACTTTTTATGTGTAGATAATCCAAATGTATCGGGTTGTACTAGTGGTATTTGTTTTTTTAATCTATTTTATTTGTCGACTGTCTTTTTTGTTCTATTGTTGATATCGTTTAACTGCATAGTCAGTTACAGTTGTAAATATATTTACATTAGCATGAACATTAATTTAAAAACAGTAATGGCTCTGCAAAGTAAAAGCACTTCCTGTTTGATTCATTCAGAAATTTGACATAAGCTAATGTTCACTTATTTCTACTACTTTTCTTGGAATAAAAATACATATGTATGTTTTTGTTGGGGTATATTACACCTTATCGACATTTGAAATAATGCAAAGTGGTTATTATTAGTGAAACTTTGGGCTAATATCAGTATCTTACCAAATGGTACCAAATTGTATTTATCGGATCGATACTTTAAAAAAAAAAGAGAGACTAATTTCAGCTGTTATCAATGTTAGTGCTGACATATCATGCATCACTAGTTAATATTTTTTTTAATGTAGCATTAGCTCTTCTGATAACGATAATGATTTGAATGAATAACCTACAGAAATTCTGTGTTATAAACAGACTAGACAGCAGAACAGTTAGACTTGAGGTCTGACTCCAGTGATTCATTTCCCCAGGTAAGAGAGGATCAGTGGACGCCTTCACCCTGAGCTCCCTCCTGCCCAACGTCACCAATAAGTACTACATCTACAACGGCTCGCTGACCGCTCCTCCCTGCTCTGAATCTGTAGAATGGATCGTCTTTAAACACACGGCGGCCATATCAGAAGCACAGGTCAGTCGCTCTCAAATGTGTTGCCTGTTTTTTGTAGTTTTAGGTAGGACAAACATAAAGAATGTACAAAATAACCAAATATCTGAAATTTTTATGAGTTGGGATGAGAAGTGTTTTCTTACACTTGTTGCATTCTTTTATTGTATAGTAAGCAATGATGTAACAAGTTGACGCCTAGAGTTTGCTAACTTTAGTGTGACTTTGAGTCGTAGTGTGAAAGATTTTTTCATAATCTGCAAACTGTAAAAACAAAGGAGTACAGTCAATAACATGTAACATCAGGAGGTCACAGAGTTATTCTAACAGTCACCAGAACTAACAATACATGGAAATGGGGCATTTTTTAAAATACTATAATGAAATTAAGTGGAATTTGAATATTTTTAATGATATTTTTTGTAATAATAAGTGACTTCAAAGTTACATAACATTGTTAAAAAGTCTGGTGTTTAATGAAAAGAAAAAGAAACTTTGATAAATTACTGAAAAACCTTTGGTCATATTGTACAATTCAAGTAAAAATCCAACTAAATAGGAAGGAAAAAAATAATGTTTTGGGTGTTTTTAGTTGAAGTGTGCAGACACCAGGTTATTGAAAGGAACTTTATGATTCAGTTTTCATATTCTTTTGAGTTTACCGCCGCTATTAGTGATAGTGAATCTGATGAACTCAGATATCTTAGTAGGATTTTCCTGACATTTGCTTTTTTTATACTTTAGCTAAAGCATAAAAAATAAATAATGCACCAATTTTATAAATAACAAAGAGCAGCTCGTTGTGTGTGTCTGTCAGTGACACTGTGAAGGTATTCACCAATCATTTGATCTGAACCAGCTGTGGTCGTCGAGTGGGATTTTTAGTCTGTTGCTGGTTAGCTGTCGCTAACATCAACAAAGACAACATGTTGCACTAAAGCGATGTAAAGCGAAAGGTTCAGTCAAGATCTCCTCACAGACGGGCTGTTCCTGCTGCTCTTGCTTCTTTTTTTTTTAAACGTTCGGTCGGGTTTCACACTGAAGACGACTGAGCTCTCCCTTTGACGCTACGCAGCGTTACAATGAATAACGCTACCTAGCAGTTATTCATTGTTGCAAAATAATGGAGAGCAAACACTGGTTTGTTGTGTGGATTACGTGTGTGAACGTGCTCGTGATTGAAGCAGGGAGTGAAAATATGACACAGCCACAATCATGCAAACCAGAAATAGAGCAGCCTGGCAGCAATACGAGCCTCTTCAAGCATCAGTTCTTTGGGTTTATTTTGGTGGCAGCATAGAGAGCAGAAACATGTTTCCTCTCAGGCTGACCTTTCCTCCTGCCTGTGTTTCTGTCCCTCCCTCCCCCGTCAGCTGGAGGTGTTTTGTGAGGTGATGACCATGGAGCAGGCCGGGTATGTGATGCTCAAGGATTACCTGCAGAACAACTTCAGGGAGCAGCAGCAGCAGTTCATGGGCCAGGTGTTTGCCTCCTACACCGGCGTGGAAGACGTACCCACACCCAGTATGTCATCACCTGCTTTCAACGTTTTCTAATTTGCCTCGCACAAACAGCGAATATGTTTTTGTCACTTTATAATATTTCTACTTGCTTTATCCTAGATGAAAAAGGTCACAGCATAGCATAGCATGCTTTCCTGCTCAGTGATTGGTTGATTTTCAGATCTATAACAGTTCTGCATCAAAACTGGGAAACTTGCATCAACCGACAGCTCTTTGAACTCCCAGTAGAAGCAGCACATCATCATTTTGTAGCATAAAAATAAGTTGGAGCTTTTCACCGCTTTGAAATCTGAACATTTTTGGGAGAAATGTTCAGAATTATCTGTGTCTAACTCCGTGTCCTTTAAGGTCAGCTGCTTTTTTGATCATAAAAAGTCCTCGACACTCTCCACCTTCATAAAGTCGACCCAGAAGCAAAGTCTGACACATCAACGGATTTCCACTTTGTACCACTTTGTGTCACTGCTCCGATCAGCGGATAGGCAATTTATTTTGCAGCTCTTTTAGAAATTGAAATAACATATTCAAATATTCATAAAAGGCTCTTTTTACTTGTAGCAAATTCATGAATGCATACAGGCAAACACACACACACACACACACACACACACACACACACACACACACACACACACACATGCACGCACACACACACTCACCTGCAGCACATACTCAATGTCACACTTACTCTGAAACTGGGCTTTTTAAAATGCAGTTCCGTATTTTTATTTTTTTATCAAGTCACTTAACCTCATATTACCTCTGAAAACATTGCTGGTATGCGGACGTTTTACCAATGGTGGTGTCAGCTATTTATTTCCACATTTTGAAGATTCACACAATTATTCAAGGTTTTAAGAGAACATATTCATCTCTGCCGTTTCCAGCGTGCAGCTCGGAGCCACAAAACGTCCAGGCTGACGCTCAGAACGACACCACCATCGTGGTGACGTGGGAGCGCCCCCGCGCCGTGTTCGACACCACCATCGACTGGTACACCGTCACCTACCAGAGGCTTCAGGGCAGGGATCAGAACAAACAGGAGTATAGGACCGATGGAGACCAAGATGTGGTAGGAGGGATCTGTCTATGGTGGTGGGGACAAAAGTGTTAACAGTAGTAACTGTAATTACAGATGATGTTTTTGCTCCATTATCTGCCGACCTCACCCCTACATCTGACATGTCAACGGATAATTGATGAAAATAGCATCAGTGCCCTGTTCCCTTTACCTTATCAGTCATTTCCATGAAGTGTTTTGTGAAATGGGCTGATAACTCAAGTTAGGAATCATCATCTAAAAAGGACAGTGACAGGAGTTCTTCACAAGAATGAACTGCAAACCAGTTGAAACACAGACACCTGTATATGAAAGAGACACCTGTAAAAACCCTGCAGACTGGAAGCATGTCTTTTGTTCAGATGAGACGAAACTAGAGACATTTATGAGACATTGCTAATAATCCAAAGAACACGGCCTTCACTGGCCACCCGCAGCTGGGAATCTTTTTAAGATGGAACAAGTCGTGACCTAAAACATATGGCTCTCCTGGTGAGGAACTACCTGCAGGAGAACACAGTGAACTTTATTGACTGACCTGCACAAAACACTAACTTGAACCCAAGTGGAAATGTGTGGCATGAATAAAGAAAAAGCTTGTTTTGTGTCTTGAAGAAGAGCTTTGACAATGATTCGTTTTGACCAAATTGTGTGATTTTCCTTTTTTCCAGGGTGCCATTATCTCCAGCCTGCTAGCTAATAGCAGCTATGTGGTTCAGGTGGTGGCTATTTGCACCAACGGCCTCAAAGGACGATGGAGTGATCAGATTATAGTCGACATGCCGTTAGAAGACCCTGGTACGAACCAACACAGGAGCTCTTTTTACCCGTCGCTCTGACTACGGTCAGGAGTGTTTATTCTATCCCTGTCCTTCCAGAAAGTGACTCCAGCCCCGACACGGTGACAAAGGAGGCTGACAACCACAGGGAGGTAGGACAGTCTGTTAGCTTAGCTGCAACTGGGCTGAATTTTTGTATCTGCCTTGTTCACATCTGCAGTGTATTTAGTTACATCTGCAAATTGAGTGTCACTGATTTGGCAATAGCTTATAATTGAGCATCTGAAGTCCATTCTAAAGGATGTTGAAGCAAACAAAGTTTTGTCTCTGTAGGGATCAACTGTAGCTGGACCGAAGAGGCCAGACAACCAGAATCAGCTGGATGTGGCTTCAGAAGACCACAGTCCAGTGGAGGAAGTTCCAGCTGACCAGACAAGAGTCTACCAGAACCAACCTACACAACATCAGAAAAAGGCCACAGATCAAACCCAAATAAACCAACACACTCCAGTCCAGTCCGGCAGACAGTTAACGCCAAAGACGCCGTCTGAATCCGTCAACCTACAAGAAGCTCTACCGGACGAGAACATGAGGGAGAACGCAAGCCCAAACAGGTTGACCCCTCATGGAAGCAACCAGAACTGGATAGAGGACGATCAGCTGATCCCAGCAAACTCACCGTTCACAAGTCCAAATTTTGACAGCACCAGTGCGATTTGGGTTAACCGGATAACCGAGGAGCCAGGCCTTCTGTTTCCAGTTGCTCGGACAACCGTGCCACCCGCAATTCGTCGGCAAATCACAGAAGAGGCGTCATTGTCAGTCTTGTCACCTCAGGTCAGGATATACTTTGTTACCAATCATCAAATGCTCCGAGTGCTAAAACAGGTCTGAGATGATAATAGATTTGACAGTTTTGTCTCAATCTAAACATTTTCTCTAACTGTGGGTTTATGTCCATCATGTCTTCATTTTACAGCCATTAGATCCTGATCTACCAGAACAGGCTAGTGAAAACCCTCCCACTAAGTTTGAGCTGTTCACCCACCCACTGGAGGACATCAAGGTCACAGACGTCTTCTATGAAGACACAGTCACCAGCTCTCCATTAGGGGTCATCACCTACCCTCCAACAGGTTCTCCTTCTGTGGTTCCAAGTGAGATTTAACTTTGGTTTACATCTTCGTGATCACTCAAAAGTGTGTTTTATACTTCGCTTAGGGTTAGAGGTAGACGCTGAACACTGAAAGTTAGGTATCGGACACTTAGGTGTAGACACTCGACACTTAAGGTCCCTTATTTGAGGTCACAAGCTTTGGTTTGTGATTAAAAGAATGAAATTGTGGATACAAGGGGCCGAAATAAATTTCTTCCGCAGGGTGTCTGGGCTGTCCCTTAAAGACAGAGTGAGGAGTTTGTTCCTCCTGGAGGGATTCAGAATAAAGTGTAAGATTATGATTGTAAGGACGGACGGAGTGACTTCAGCGTGTTTCCAGTGTGAGTTTGACTCCATCAGAACCGCTGCTGCTCCTTGTCTCCAAATCTCTTTGTGGTGCTGATGAACAAAATCTCAGGGTGTATGTAATAACCAGGTCCTACAAGGATGGCTGGTATTCTTTGGGTTGCCCAGCTATTTTTATTTTCTAATGCCTTATTGGTGTCCCATCTTGTTCCATTGCATTACATCATTTTCATGCACTTTGTGTACACAGGTAACGAAGTGCACAAAGACTCGACGATGAACCCCGAAGAGAGTGGAGCCGCTGTAAGCGAACCTCTGCAGACATCCTTTACCTCAGATTCAGCCAGCCCTACCTCAGAGTGGATAACAGAAAACACGGCAACAGGGGGCAACACTCTGTCCGACTCCCTCTATAAATCCTTCACCACCTCCTCTTTGCTCAGAGGGCTGATGCACACCACTCAGCCCCTGTTCAATGGTAAGACATAACACTTTCTCTGGGAAAGTCACACATCCCATTAAGCTATCCTATTCGTTTTTTAAATGGCTATTAGTTTTCATTTTGAGGGATTTTACCCAACAGCAGGGTGCTGCAAATGTATCGATGGGCAAACAGCGGGATGAGATTGCAGTGGGTGCTTTTATTTCTGCCTTTAATGACCCACAACTGTGCATCTAATCAGTGCTGTGCCCTGTGATCAGAGGGACGTGATGGGGAGGATTCCAGTGGCGGCCGTGTGGAATAAGAAGATGCTGATTGTGATTGGGGTGATAATTAGGGGCTTCTCGCTTTCCTAAGTGGCTCAGAATGAAATCTGCTTGACTCTTTGATAAATCGTACCGCACGTCCGAGTTTTCTGCCTCATAATAATCTACTTGAACTCACTCAAGCTTGGTGATTGGCATCTACTGCTGGGGTCTTGGTCTGCATCTGTGTCCTTTTCTGTAGCTCAGCAGCGCTCTCTAGTGGGTTTTTTTGCTACCTTGCTTTGTCTGAACTCTTAAGGATTTCTGGCATTTCTTCACTTTCAAGCAGCAATTCCTTGGCTTGCCTAATGTGCCCTGGTAAAACCCATTCTTCAAATACATTTCTTATTTCAAAAAGGTAACATCTGAAAAAGGATTCCTCTGTTTTGGATTTTCTTGCAGCAGATAGACCAATATCCAGGACTGAGGATTCAACAGTTGACCAGTTTTCTGGCTTCGTAGACTCATCCAACTCCCTGATAGAGATGAACTTAAACCCTACACCGTCTGTCTCTGATAGGGAACTCTCTACACCTTTACCTCTCAAACCTATCACCAAATTCTCCAACAGTTCCCATCTCTCTCTTGCCCTCCTGGAATACTTGTTGAACTCTTCCCAGCCAAATTTAGAACAGCTACCAATCTCTGCTATTTTGAGTTCCCAAGATCTGGTAAATACCACTAACTCTCTCTTTTTGCTGTCTAATTATGGATCAGTCATCGCCCAGCTAGCAAAGACAACCCAACATGAAGAAATCAGTCAGAACAATTCTCTGACTGACGTAAGGAGTCAAGACATTGTTGAATTCTCAGAGCTGATTCACAACAATGAAGAGGGATTCAGTGCAGATACAAATGAGGATGAGCTTTATGCTAATTTAAGTATGTCTTTACTTGATTCAACGGAGGAGAGTGGATTGGACTCTGGTCATGACAGCAACATGTTCAGTGGAGAAACTGGTGAAGTTGCTGAAGCTCAACCTAAATTTTCAACATTCTCAAGTTCAGCTGTTAGCGTCAATGTGAATTATACTCCAGAAAACAGCTTAGTGCCTCAAAGTAAAATATTAGCAGCAAGAGGTAAAATTGGGGTAAGTAGGAAACTGGGCAGTGAGAAGGAAAATGAGATGAGCGGAGAGGAAATTGAAGAGGAAAACAGTGGAAGTCATGAAGGCAAAGAGAACCCTGAACACAGAGGGTTGGTGTGTAGTGGGAGTGGCAGCGGGGCTGAGGATGGTAGTGGTTCTGGAGAACAAGCGACTGCCGATGATCACGTAAAGACAAAGCAAGACGATGGCGATCAGGAACGTTTAAAAGCGGCACGCAAAAACAGATTTGTGTCCAAGGGAAACGGAACACACATCAGAAACAAAGTATTAGGATCTGAAAGAGCAGACAGTCATCAGCTGACATCCAGGGAAGACGCATCGACACCAGACCAAGCATGGTCTGTGACCAATGACCAGAATGTTGGGAATGACAAAGAGGATCAGAACACAACTCTGGAAAGCCCAGGTTTTGTACTGAGGTCTAGTGTTGATACAACAGAGGGACATACTGAAGAGGAAGAACCCGCAGAAGGAGCTGGTCATGGAAGTGCAGCTGAAGACTCTTTGGAGCGTTTCTCAAACGTGACTGGGTCGTTTCAGACTGCAGGAGGTTCGATGTTGAAGGATCTTTTCCCTCTGCTCAGGTTCACTGACACTCAAGAAGGAAAACTGGAACAAAAGGGAGGTAACTGAGACACAATGTTTGAATTTGTCTCTTTAGAAAAGTGTAGTAGTTAATGCAAACTTTACTACAAATCAGTTTAAGTTTAGCACGAGTCTACTTCACCCATCAGACTTAATTAGGTCCGAAGGAGAAATGTAATTACTGTTACCATCTCGTCTTTTGCATTGGATTTCTTGACTTCAATGAGCAAATCAGAAATTCAGACTCCCCTAGACATCTGAGTTGGCGAGAAAGCCAGGATTTCAGCCTCAGAGGTCTTTCCAAGACTCTTTTGTAGACTTTAAACTCAGACTTCTGATTACAAACGGAGTGCACCATTAATCTGTGTCTGGTAAGAATCACAATTTTTTTTTAACAAATTAATGAGCTTGATAACAGCTAAGAATAAAAAGACTTCAAACAGTAAAAACATATATTTCCAGTTGAAATATTTATTCACTTAGAGTGAGGCAGGAGAAAGGCAAAATGCTAGTGCGGTGTAGTCTGAAATAAAAAGGAAGAAGCTGCAATGCCTCCTTAGTTTAATATTTTTTAAGAAAAGAAACCACATATTTTCATAGATTAACTCACATTTCTCTGTGCTTCATATTCAAAGTAACTGCGATTCACACTAAAACACAGATTGGACCTTAGTGTCACCATAGTCAGATTTTTGTTGCAGCACCATTTTCTTTTTCTAAATCCTCACAACATTCTTCCTACATCCTTTAGTAAGATTTATGACCTTTACATAGAAGTTCAAGGTCTAAAGTAATAAAATACGACACCGTTTTGTGTTGGGGGTTATTTGATTTGACCCATTTTGGACATGTGTTCCTTCTGCTCTTTAACTTGTTTCTGTTTGGTGCTTTGTCGTCCCCTTTGGATTGAAGGCTGATTGTATCTATGAGGTTTCACATTTAAAAGAAATGTAGCTTTAAAATTAAAGCTAGAGTGTTTGTCTTCATGAGGACAAAATGCTGCATTTTTGTCTTCTTGGTAGCAGCTCTAAACCTTTCTGATGTGCAACATGCAGGACTTCCTTCTCTGTTTCAGAGGGCAGCAACAGCAGCCACGAGTCTCGGGTGGGGCTGGTTGAAGGCGTGGAGAAGGACAAGAGGACAGTCATTCCTCTGGCTGTCGTCTCCACTCTCACCACTCTCTGTCTGCTGGTGCTAGTGGGTATACTCATCTACTGGAGGTACAAACACACACCCTGTACATTCTACATCGTGCCTGACCATCTTTTCACGAGCAATTTGGCGTCTCTGGTTCCAGAAACTGTTTCCAGGCAGCCAATTTCTACCCGGATGACCCCGCGTCACCTAAAGTCCTGTCTGTTCCCTCCACGCCCCTGCTGCTTTCCACAGGTAGGCCACTCAGAGGGGGGGTTTCTTGCTCTTCACCTCATTAAGCACTGAGACAAACTGAGAGTCTGGTGTTGCAGATTGCCACGAGCCGCTGACGGTGAAGCAGTTTGTGAAGCAAGTCCTGGAGCTCCACAGCACCAACAGCTTCTCCAGGGAGTTTGAGGTGTGTCACATTAAATCTACATGAAAGGAAAATGGGTGGAATGATTTGTCTCAGCTCCCTAATGTGCACCCATATTTCTTTTTAACATCATGAGCTTTTGGAATTTAATTTGACTCTGTTTGCAGAAAGATATGCTTTAACTCGCAGGGAAGTTCTTGTTTTTTTTTTTTTTTTGTTTGGCAGCCAGATGATAATATTTTGTGTTCAGAGAAAACTCCCTGACGGTGGTTTTCAGTATGAATCAAGGACACATCTGCATGTTTGACACTTCCACACATGATCCGCCCACACACACATGCAGATTTGATTCTTTCAAGTGTTCAGTGCCTTGCAAAACTATTAGCACCCGAAACTATTTCTCATTTTTTTTCATGCTCCAACCACAAACTTCTGTTTGTTGTTATTTTCCATCATTAAAGCGGACTCAACTCCTGTTTAGTCCACTTTAATCAAACTCCAGTCCGTTTGCAGAGGTGTGATAGCTCAATCAAACTGATGCTCTCTCTTCTTCAGAAGTTTTCATGTTGTTTCTCTATAGTTCTTGGTCCAACGCCACCACAGGCAAAAAGGGTTGTGCAGGTTTTTCAAAGGGTTTGGTTCATTTTAATGTTATTTTTCATCAGTCCTGAGAAAGATCACTGGAGTATAAATCCTGTACATTTTCCTTTCATCTCCCAGTAACGTGCTAACCACATTAAAGTTTGTGGCTGTAGATCGGTGAGAAACCTCCAGGTTGAATTAATGCATTTGCAAGGCACTGATTGGTCTCCTGTGTCTCCCTCTCATTGTGTAACAGTGTTTCTGTCTTCCAAATAGTCTACCACTGCTTTACACCCCTTAAATTATTAGGAGGCCCAGGCCTTGTTTCACCCGCCCCGCAGAATAATGTTACATCGTCGCTAACGTAGCTGCTAGAATTGCAGGCGGCGGCTCAGGTGGGATGGTGTGCCCCCACTCCCACTCGGCGCCTCCGCTCTGTGTGGATCTGAACCCTACATTCCTGGACCTGCACTGACTCCTTGTCTGTCGTCTTGTCCCTCTGTCCCACTCTCCTTTCACCATCTCCACCACCATCATCGTGCTTTCCGCATCCTCACCACCCTCCATTAGATTGTGAAAGAGTCGTATGAGGTAAGACCCCCCTCCATCCCTCTGCTGCAGAGGGGTTTTTTGTAGTTCTGGGAAGGAAAGGCAAAGTGTCAGCTTACCTTAGCATCCCTGATTTGAGTTGATGGAGTTTTACATCCGTTCTTCTTCAGCTAGCTGACAGCAGGCTCACTCTGTGTCTACACTGAAGCTTGCTGTGCTCAGCTGAACCCGCTTCTCGTTGGCTGTGTTGTGCTTCAGGAGGTGCAGGCGTGTACAGTCGACATGGGCATCACCGCCGACAGCTCAAATCACCCCGACAACAAAAACAAGAACCGCTACATTAACATCCTGGCCTGTATGTGTCTGCTTAGTGCAATCAGTCAGCATTTAGGCAGAGCGTCAGCTAACCGCCTGGTTCTCCTTTCCCAGACGACCACAGCAGAGTAAAGCTCTCCAACAGCTTGGACCGAGATGGGAAGTGTGGGGACTACATCAACGCTAACTTTGTCGACGTGAGTGATTTTCTTCTAAGTATTTATACAGTCATAGAGACAGTTGTTTGGTCGGGCTAAAAGGTTTAGAAAAGTTTTTTTTGGGGGCACATTTTTAGCTTTTACCTGTTTCTATTGTGCCGTGCAGAATAATAAAACATGAAACGATCCAAGTCCACATGAATATGTATGGTGTTTTGTGAAAAATTTGTGTACCACGTGTGAATTTTACATTTTTAAAAATAATTTTCAATGTGATCTTCAAATCTGAAATCATGTTTTTTTTCTATAAGGGATTTCTTCTATCCTTTCTTTTTGTATTTCCTTCTCTTTGTCCTTTCTTCTTACTGCCCTGACTTTCTTTCTTAACCTCTGTAATTTCTCCTTCATTGTGCAACCTTTTTTCCCCTCCTTACATCCTTACATATGCTTTCTTTATTTTTTCTTTCTATTTTTGTTTATCCAGGAGCCCATATTTAAAGACTGGCCACTGTAGAAGAATATTTCAGAATTTCATGGTTTAAGTTCAGTGCCAAATCTATGGAAAGTTGAGTTTGCAAAAAGTCTTTATTTTCTATTTCTTTAAAAAAAAAAAAAAAAAGGTGTAGGAACCCTTACTGTCAATATGAAAGCCAGCAAGTTTGCAAAGGACAACAGTGGGGTCCCTGGGTTGAGGTTAGGGCCACAGCTGACACTACCACTAGCAAAGCGGTCAAACTGCTGCTGCGTTTGCAGGGTTACGAGCGAACGAGGGCCTACATCGCGGCTCAGGGGCCGCTGAAGGCCAGCCGGGAGGACTTCTGGAGGATGATCTGGCAGCAGAACGTTGGAGTTATTGTCATGATCACCAATCTGAAGGAGAAAGGACGGGTAAGACCCGACACAAACACTGAAGGTCTCCACCAAGATCAGTGCCGGGTCAGGATTTCATGCCTGCTCCTTCCTCTGCAGACGAAATGTGACCAGTACTGGCCGGAAGAGAACCAGGAGGAGTACGGCGCTTACCAGGTGGCCCTGAGAAGCACCAAGACACTAGCGTACTACACACTCCGGACGTTCACAGTCAGGGATACAGCTAATAAGGTACTTCATATACACATTCCTTATCTCTGATTACCACACAGAGAGCCTGAACCTTTGCAATGTTTCAGTGTTAAATAGTTGATATCATTTGTTGTTCCAGGTGCCACAGAAGAGAGTGGAGCACACGGTCCTGCATTACCACTACACCCAGTGGCCGGACATGGGCGTCCCAGAGTACACTCTGCCTCTGCTGTCCTTCATCAGGGCGTCGTCTCGGGCCCGGACGCAGGAGATGGGACCCGTCCTGGTTCACTGCAGGTAGAGCTGAACACAATTTCTTATGTTATCAACAACATTACAGCAAATCTGGCATCTTCTTTTCATCTGTCTGTTTCAGCGCTGGCGTAGGAAGAACAGGAACCTACATAGTGATAGACAGCATGCTGCAGCAGATCCAAGATCAGGGAACGGTAAACGTACTGGGCTTCTTAAAACACGTCCGGACACAGAGGAACTTCCTGGTTCAGACGGAGGTAAAATCAGTCAAACTCCACTGGATAATTCCTTAATATTAAGCATTTATATTGTAACATTGACATCTTACTATCAATGTTAAGAGAGTAAGATGATTTTGTGAAGCATCAGGTCCTGTCATTTTCTTGAAGTGTCTCATTTTTTGACACATACTATGATTTGATTTGCTCTTCTAAAACCTGCATGTATGTTGGGAACAAGCATGTGTAATTCTGTTTTCTGCTGCCTCATGACGTCGGGTTGCTTTTTTATCGACTTTAGGATATTTTTTCATATATTAAGATCAACTGTCTATCTGGCAGTAACATTTCAAGGTTCCGTGAATGCCCCAAGTGGCCAAATAATTATTGGCCAAATTAATCAGAAAGTAGGTCAAGCTGTCAGTTTCAGTTTCAAACATCCATAATGCCGAGGTGAGTGTACCTTCATCAGTGCACACAGCATAGCTTAGAGTCAGATTAAAGGTGTATTTCCACCAGGGGAATCCAGCTTTGGTCCGCTTGTTTGTTCAGGGCGATCCATGCAGCAGTAGTGTTAGCAACACTGAATGGCTAATGCATGATCCATAGCAACGGCAGTCCATGTTTCCTGGAGTTGGTTTGTACTGATGCAGGTCTGTCTGCACAATAGAAGCCAACCGCAGAGTTTGTTTGGACCGGACCGTGACCCATTTTTTCAGGTGGTTTCAGTTGTTTGATCCACACCAAATGTGTCAGGTGTAAACACACACTTGGGTGACAGGCAATAATGTGACAGGGGGACATAGACTGAGAACGTCAGCTTGCCCAGCCGTCATCCTATGTTGGGGTAAATGTCTGAGATTTAAAACTCACTGTTAAGGTTTTAACCCAACCTCCCCATCACAATAAAGTTCTAAACCTTCAGTTTCATTGTTCCTCCATATTTCCCAGGAGCAGTATGTGTTCATTCATGACGCTTTGGTGGAGGCCATCCTGAGTCGGGACACGTCAGTCACCTCTGACCTTCTCCACAATTACGTCTCTAACCTCCTGATCCCAAGCGCCACAGGAAGAACGCGCATGGACAAACAGTTCAAGGTGGGGCCTTCATTTGATTCCTTTTCCATTGGTTCTAAGCGATTGTTCTGAAGCTAACCGTTCCTCTCGACCTTTCAGCTGATAAGTCAGCGCCAGGCAAAGCACGCAGACTACAGCACTGCCCTGAAGGATGGCAACGCTGAGAGGAACAGAGCAAGAGCGCTGATGCCTGGTAAACTAGACATAAAAGAACCCATGTGTACCGCCACATTTTCCAGTAACCATAGCTGGATGTAATATGGTGATATTTCTGATGTACCATTGGAAAAAGAACAGAAGCCCAAGTGGGATCTGTGAGACCAAACAGCAGTGTAGAATCCATGTTTTGCATGGTTGACAGTTTGCTTATGTAGAGTGAGATTGATCTGGGCAGAGTGAAACCTGAAGGACAAGCTTCAGTCTCACTGCAGAACAGTGAGAGTTGGCAGCTATGATGGTGTTTAAAGTGAATGCATGTCAAAATAATGTAAAAGATCAATTAAGCAAAACAACGGTTTGGTTTCTTGTGAACTTATGTTTCTGTTGTCTAGTGGAGAGATCAAGAGTCTCTCTGGCGGCTTCAGAATCCAACTCCACCGGCTACATCAATGCCTCCTATGTAACGGTGAGTGACTTTTTACTGTTACTTTAACACTGTCGTGTGTAATATTTAGGAGGATTATTCTGAAGAGCTGCAGTATGAGTAGCAATGGTAGTTCTGCTTTGGTATTCGGAGCAGAGGTGACATCATCCTATTGTGGATCAGTTGGCGTAAAACAGGATTGTACTAATATTTACAATATATAATATTACAAACTTAACATCTGGCATTTCTCCATCTCATTGGTAACTGAACATATGCTAACACCAGCCTATCCAATGCTAATGGACACAGGAAGTAGGCAATCCAGTGGGTGACTAGCCTCAGTATGCTAATAATTAGCTTCTCCAATGCTAATGCAAATGAGTCCTCTCTTTCTGATCTGCCAGCGCCGGTCACTCAGTTACCAGTGTTGGCCGATCACAAATCAGATCAGTAGCTAGCTTCAAAAAAGATATAGCCACCTATGACAAGGGAGTAGCCACTGCTGAGTGTGCAGTAGTTTTCATTTTGGCCATAATGCCGCGCCGTAGGCATCTGCGTTTTGATCTCTAAATGTCAGTAAAGCCCTCGTGTTTCTCTAAATGCCTCTCTGTTGGTTGCCGTTTTTAAAACCCTCCGGAGTTCTTCAGTGTTACAGCTCCAGTTCTTACAGGGACACCACTGCTGTAAAGGTTTCATAGTGAGTCAGACGCCTATGAGCAGCACCGTGGAGGATTTCTGGAGAATGATCTGGGAGCACAACACACACACAGTTATCTGTCTGCCGGACACACACAATCAGGTACGACCTGCTCACACTCTGCCTTTTAAATGAGTTCCTTTAATGCAGCTGCGTTCATGTTTTTATTTTCTAGAATGAAAAGAGGGACTGCTGTGTCTACTGGCCTAGTAAAGACCTGCCATTGATCTTTGATGGATTCACTGTGTCTCACACCGGGGAGGAGCTTGTACATCTGACCAATGATGAAAGGGTTTTTGTGCAGGATTTTACAATCCAGTCTCCTCAGGTGATAAACTCTCACACACGTTACTATCAAATCCCCCAACAGAATGATTCCTGATGCAGTGTCCATGCCTCCCCGCAGAATGATTGCATCTTACACGTACGTCAGTTCAGCACCCCCTGCTGGCCTAACCCAGACAGTCCCATCAGAAACAGCTTCGACCTCATCAGCATGGTCAGAGAGCGCAGCAGACACTCACAGGAACCCGTAGTCGTTCACGATCCGTGAGTAAAACACAGAGAGGATTACTGAACGGTCGGATTCCTTTCAGGAACTAAATGTGTGTTTGTGTGCAGGTTGGGAGGAGCTACATCAGGGCTGTTCTGTGCCCTCAGCACCCTGTTCAGCCAGCTGGAGGAGGAGGGAGCCGTGGACGTCTACATGGTGGCACGGATGACCAACCTCATGAGACCTGGGGTTTTCAATGACATCGTAAGTACTGTAGAGGCGCTGAGTTGTGGAAGATGACTTTTTTTCCTCCCCCAAATTCAAGACATTGGGGTGACTCTAGTTGGGTCACTAGAGTCTAGTTGGGTCACCCCAAGATCACCAAGTCTTCTTAAAAGGTAGAGTCTCTGAGAACAGTTCTTCAAAATATAGTCAGTGTTTTCAGCAAAGTTGAGCTGAGTGAACAGGAACGACCCAAGGTATTTAAAATTTGCCACAGTTTCAACAGGTTGGCCATCGAGAGAAACTGGAACCACTTTAAGGTCTTTAGATCATTTAATTAGCTCTACATTCTTAAGAGAATGAAAAATATATAATAAATAATAAAAACTTTGCGGTATTCTGATTTAGTAATGTAATTATATTAGTTGTGTTACCATCCCCACGACACTAGAGACAGTAGCAACCCCGAAAAGATGCGACTAAGGAGCAGATTTAGAAGTACAACAAACGCTGAAGTAATTAAAGACACAAGTTCAAATCCATGCTGAGAGTGGATCTCCTTCCCGCAGCTCTGATTGGCTCAGCAATGTAACGTGATCCTCTGCAGCAAGTGATGGCAAAGCGGCGCGTCATCACGACTTTACACAGTGTGTCTTTACCTCCGCCGAACCCCTGGGGTTCGATCGAACCCAGGTTTAGAACCACTGATATAGAGCTATCCTAAACTTTACTGCCACCAGAACATAAACAATTTATGGAATTTACATGTTTGTACACAAAATAAAAAAGTAAATCTAAAAATCAGTGTAATTTTTGTTACATAAGAAACTGTGATTCTTCCCGGCCCAACCCACAGGAGCAGTACCAGTATCTGTACCGAGCCATGCTGAGCCTGGTGAGCAGCCAGGAGGACCAGAGAGCCCTGCAGAGTCCAGAGACGAACGGGTCGGTACCGCTGGGCCAGTCCAACGCCACAGAGAGCCTGGAGTCGCTCATGTAGCCCCGCCCAAACTCCCACATGCTGGGATGGATGCCTGGGCCGGTCATGACTGTGGAAAGTGAGCATCATAATGCTTTAATGTCCACTTGGTCAAATTTAACAATTTATTATAATACTCTTCAGTCGTCTTTCAAAAACTGTAAAGCTCATCACAGGGAAATTGAGATACAGCAACACCTAGAAAGCTGTTTGCTATTTAAAGTGCTCATTCATCATTTTTTTATTTTTTTTTTTACATATTTTATAATCTGAAAACAGAAAGCAGCAGTTCATCATATGATGAACATCCCACGTTTCCCGGGCACCAATTGGACGCAATGACTTTACTGATTTTGTTGTCAACTTTAACCCTAAAGTTTCTTTTAATAATCATGGATAATAAATTAATAGGTTGAAATGTTTATATTTTGGTCATGCTTATGCCTTGAAAGCAACAGAAAAACTGTCATCCCATGTAAAATACTGCAGTATTCCAAAAGGTCTGATTATAGTATTAACATGTTTCGAAGATACAGTGCAGGTCAAAGGTTATGACAGAGTTGTAATGTTTAGTGGCAACTAGCCAAACCTTCAACTATAGTTTCAGTCAATCTTGAATTAACCAGAGGCCTAATACACATGTTTTAAAAACTATCATGAAATTATTTGCAGTGACATCACGCTGTGTGAATGCACCTACAGTTAAACTTTATTTTCCTCACAGAATTAACCAAACAATCTGTTAGCATTCTCTCTGGGTGTATTTTTACCTTTGTTGGAGTGAGATATGAAAGTATCTAAAAGGAAGCCATGCTGTTTGAATTCTCTAAATGTTAAGGCTGCTGTCGCTGTTTTTTATGCTGCTGAGTGCTTTTGCATTGCTAAAAAAAGGGCTTTACGTTGGTCTAAACATGAAGAACTGAAGCTTCTGTCCTGGTATTTTGTTGTGTATAGCCCCACTGTATTGGCTTAGAGGGTGTAAAATTGTCCATTTGCTACTGCAGAAAGATAAAAGCCCCTTCTCCATTGTCAAATCTCACTAGCTGGTTAATATCTGGTTAGGTTCTAACCAAAGTTGGGTCCTTCTCCATTGGCATCATGTTCCTTACTATGTGGGTGGGAAAGTAGGTGGGGTGTGAGCATACAGTAGCTGTGGTCGACACTCCCACAATGTCATTTATACCCTTGAAGGGCCAATTTCTCCAAAATCTCCAGATATATTTGTTGCGTTCGGTTGAAGCTGCGTGTTCTCTTCCATCACAATTGCTAAAAACATTTGGACCAGAAGGTCTGACCATCTCGCCAACAACTATGGTCTCATCCTGGATTCAAAATGGTGGTTGAGAAGGGTTTGCTGACGTAAATCCATGGGCCAGTCAACAGATGAAGTTTGTTGCCAATCAAGGACCTGCTACTCCATTCTAGAAGTGGTTCCCAAAAACAAACGCCGCAGGATCTGCTAATGTAGATGAATCTGGCTAGGTCTGACTGGCGAAGAACCGGTTAGAGCCACGCAAATGGAGAAGGGGCTGAAGTGAGTAACGTTTTGTCTCTGTCAGTCTCTGTCCCAGTCCCCTCATTTAATGGTCGCCTGACCAAACTTAGTCTGAATCAAGAAAAAGGGGGCCAGGCTGCCCTGCTGTTGGAGCCATTTCAGACATTCAGGATGCTGTGGTGAATGACTATTCGTCAGTGCAGACAGAGTGCCTGCATTGTGGAGCATGAGATTAGGTAATGCTGTTGATGCAGATTCTATAACAATGATGCAGATGTGTGGGGTATATGTTCGGTGTCTCAGTAACAAAGTTCAAGACACAGAATTTATCAATGTCTAAAAACATCTGAGGTGAACCACGATGTTTGCTAGAGAACCAAAAGCTGCTAAAGCCATGTCTCTTCAGACGCTACTGATATAAAGCAGATACTTATTGAAGTTCCACAAGGATATGTAATATTCTTAAACTTTTGGGTCCTCATTTAAGAATATATTTTTTCTTTGGTTCTCCTTATGCCATCTACTGAGGATAATGAAACGGACGTATCAAAGTGAAGCCATGATGTTTGCCCAACATTTAAAGAATTCAAAGGCGTTTCAGTTATTTCAGGTCCCACTGTTGCGTCATTTAAAGCTCTCGTAAATACATATGAGATCAGGAGTTACAATGTGAGAAGAGTCTAAATGAAAATTGTATTGTCTGATCTGACCTTTGACCTGTGGTGAAAAACTGCAAAATGCCTAACACATGCCTAACAACGCAGAATTTACCACATCTAAACAGGATGGTTTCTTTTTAAATGGTGATTCATTATTGTTTGATAAAGAGGTTAGTCACAGATTGGTTACCAAAAACAGCTCTAGTACCTTACCTGTTCTACCTAAAGTGGATATGCAGACAATAGACCCCCCTGTTAAAAATCCTGGTTATAATTTTAAAAAATGAGATGATGAGAAACGACCTCAAAATTTTTCCACCTTTAAGTGTTCACACCTTTACCCTAACCTGTCCTGAAGGACATTTTAATTTGATGTCTATCAGTCAAATGTTGACATGGCAACCCTTGGCAACACAAATGGTTTCTGTCAAATATTGTTTTATACTCGTGCTTGGTCCAAAGCAATTTTTTTTTCCATGAAGTCATTCTTTTGTTATACATAACTTTTGTTTTCTGAAGTGATACAGAAAATTAGGTTCCAAACTGACAGAAATTTAAAACTTTGCATAATTTCTCCCATCACAGTTTTTCCATATTTGACTGAATGCTGGGTTAAACCAGAACGTCCTTCTGTCTCCTACTGTGTTAAGGGTTTGAATACTTAAACAACAAGGTAACTGAACTTATGTCCAATGTGTTTTTCTAATCTTTGAAAAAAATGAAGAAAATATTTTAGTTATTTAAAACAAATCTTGGAAATTCCCCAAACCGTGTGGCGTTCAAACGATTCAGCATTATTCGAGACGTCCAGGTTTTTGTGATTTTCTTACAAAAAGTTAAACTTGTGCAGTTTCTTCAGTTTTGTTGATTTANTTAACCGTTAGAGAAGCACAAAGCCTTTTATGGAATGTCCTTAAGTTTTTCCACATGATATCTTTATATTATATTAAAGATGGAAAAAGTTTTGAAATGATTTATGATTGGAGGAATTTATTTATTTTGTTTTACATCACAAAAACCTTGCAGTTTTACCAGGGGGTGTGTAGACTTTTATATCTGCTGTTGTGTATTTAACTGAGTAAGAGAAATTAGAGAAATGTCAAGATCATTTTACAGCTGAAACCAGAAGTTTTCATACACTGAACCATAACTTTATTTTCTTTGGTATCTGATAGGAATGAGCCAGAATTCCAGCCAACTAATGTGAATGACCAAACAGTTCAAAGGCAATGCTGCCAAATAAAGAAGAAATGTGGGTATGCTTGCAATTAAAAAAGATAAAATAAATCTTGCATATTTTGCTACTTTTGTGGCATTTAGCAAATAGAAATCATTTTGATGACTCTAACTGACCTTAAACAAGAGACATTTAGTCTGATTTAACTTTAGACAGTGAGGAGAAAAATGTATGTAAACTTCTGGTTCCAAGTGTATCCTGTAAATCTTTCCATTCCCTATTATTTTATTTCTTTTGCTAATCTGTTTTTCTCTGTGGGGTTTTCAGGCCTCTGATAGTAGACTGAAGCTGTAGAAATGAGACACAGATAAGAGCAGAAATCATGACGCGGCGGATATGAGATCAGCTACACTTTGTTTTTGCTTACTTTGTCTCCTTGCCAGTGCCTTTTGTAAATCACATTACTGTACATCAAACCTCTTTTGGTTCATTTCAACACCTACTCTGCTGTGACTCCGCCTGCTGAACACTTAAAAAGAAATCCAAGCAGCACAAGTAGCAGTCTGAGACCAATTTTTATATTTTCTCTTCGACGTAAGCAAAAAAAAAAAAAAAAAAAAAAACCCAAAAAAAAAAAAAAAAA